CCGTCTAATACTTAACAAAAGAGGTTTACCTAGCTACAGCATAGAAAGAATGTTCAGAGAAAGGAAGGGATATGTATTGAGGATAAAGCACTGACTCAACTGACCAGTTTCCCCTTCTCTTTCATGCTGCTAGTCTAAATCTAAAGCCTTATGGAGGAGCCCCAGCTCTTTTGAACCCAGGTGACCAGTGTGGCAATTAAAAATTTCCAAAAGACAGAGTTCCTGGGTAAATTATAATCAATTTTATCAACTACTGCTAGTAAGCAGTTAACAAAAAGGGCTCAACATCCTCTCAAAGATCAAAGAAGAATCACAGCAGCTTCCTGATGCTTACATATGCCTTGGAAGAGTGGGAGGTAGACCTATTCTAATGAGGGGCCAGGGGACATGACTTTGATTATGTTATTTATTTCCAAACCACCCCTAGTCTTGGACAATGTGATCAAAGAATTTATCCCCATCCTTCCCAAGCCTGAGTAGAACATAACGACCTTCTCTACTTGGGTGCAGTCTGAACAAGATTGAGGAGAAAGTGAATCCAATCTCATTATCAACAATATCCTTCAGATGCTGGCTTGGCCTAGTAGAGAATGAGGATCTAAGAAGGGGGAAAAATTGGATCTCCCCAATACCCGGTTATTTAATAATCATTTCTCTCACCAGGATGTTAGGTCAAATGCCCCATGCCTTACTTAGTTCTCTGAGCCAATCAAATCTCAAGAACAGTTTCAATATGTTTTAAAGAAAAACTAGCCTAAATTATAAGGGGAGTGGTAAGAGAAGAGGTTAAGATATTGCTCATACCTCACATGCCCCATTAGACAGGAGTTCTAGACTGCCTGATTTTCTCAAACAGTATAGATCTAAGGTGAAAATAAAATATCTGTTTAGTAGTTCCACAAAGACCTTTTACCTTTCTTTGGCACAACTTAAAGCTGGTCAAAGTGAGTTCCCTCTCTCCCCTTTTTATTCATCTCAAAGTCCCTTGACATCATTTCCTGTTCTCCTCCATTCTACCAGTCTCTGCTAATGATATTTATTAAGGTCAAAATCTCTACATGTACCCTTGATTATGGAATCCTATCTCTTCCTATTTTCTCCAATAGATTATAACTTCGATAATTCTCTCCCATCTTCAGCTTCTCTCTAACTACTAATTCCTTTCAGTGGGGTCTTCAAACATGCCAAAGTCTCTCCCATCCTAAAAAAAATAAAAAATGAAAAAACATCTTTCAGTTATCCCCTCAAGCTATCACCTTATATGTCTCCTCCTTTCTCAGCCAAACTTCAGGTGGGGAGTAGGGATGCATGTGCAAATGTCTATACTCATTGCTTCCACTTTCTCTGCTTTCCTTCTATAATCTAGCTTTTAATCTCATCACTCAATTGCTCTTTCTAAAATTACTAATGACCAAAGTTAGCAATGACCAATTGTTTACCATCCTCTATTTTTGGATGTTATCTCTTCTCTGGGATTTCAGAACATCAGTTTACTGGTTCTTCTCCTGATGCCCTGAGATTAAGGCTTAGGATTTTGGTCTGGTTTGTTTATCCTTTTAGTTCTAGGTGCAAGTGATGACCTAGACCTGGGAGCTCAAGCCTTGACCTTCTTGGAGGCAAGATTCCTGGCCAGATGTTGCTGCTAGTCCAGCAGGGAAGAACTTAGAAGGGTACAAGGATGCAAGCGCAGGGGACCTTTGGACTTGCAACTTTGTGGGATCATGCTATATGGGAACTCATTTATGCTGTGAACCCTATCTCCATCCCTAGAGACTGAAGTCATAAAGGAGGGATTTTTATATATTTATTCTTGCTATACCTTTGGAATAAATATTCCTTTGCAAAAGCTATTCTGATTTTTAAGTGGTTAAATGGAAGTAGGGCACTGGGGACCCTTAAATTAAGGGAACATAGTCAGTGAGGGCTTGAGCCAATAGCATACAGACTAGACACTACAAATCCCATTAAGGGTACTTGGAGAACCATGCAGAGAGGTGAAATGCAACAGACCTGGCTTCAGGCATTGAGAACCATGGTGTTCACTTTCTGGGACTAAATGTGGTCCTTTGAGTTTGCAGGGACATCTGGAATGATTCTCTGTCTCAGACATTACATTTTAGATACCCTATGCTTCAAGATCCTAGAAAAACTGGAGGGGAAATTTTAGAATGTAGGTGGTTGTTGTTTTTCCCACTATGTTCTCTGATAAATCAGCTCCATTGATTTAATTTTGCAAACTTGTTCATTGTGTGACTAAATACTGATATTTTCTGCATTACTGAGTCCTGTATAACTGTTGATATTAAGTTTAATGTAAGAAATCTGGAATCATTAAGTTGCTACTGACTGGTATAAATATATGTATTGTTCTTTTTGCATTTAAACAAACCTGGACTGTTTGCCTTTTTGTAATAGTAAAATATACTGAAACTTCTTAGGATAAGAATGCCTGTGCCTAAAATCCACAAGTAGTTAACCTTCTTTGCTACATCGTTAATTGAGTCTACTTGTCTTGTTTTCCTGTTGAGTAAGTTTGCAATTCCATTTGGCTTACCCTTGCAGTGACAAAGATCGGGGAGGGGGGATATTTGGGGTGCCTTTGGAATAAGAACCCAGAGAAAATTTCCCTGAACCTCTGTGGGGAACTGTATGTGTGTCCTAGGTAGAAAGGGATAACTTTTGTTCAGACCCTATTTGGATGACCTTATGCACTGAAGGAATCATGAAAAATTTTCCACCGTGGACAATTTTCTCATCTTAGAAAGGGGTGATAGATGATTAGGGGCAGCTAGGTGGCACAATGGATAGAGCACAGGCCCTGAAGTCGGAAGGACCTGAGTTCAAATACAGCCTCAGACCAAACACTTGACACTTACTAGCTGTGTGACCCTGGCCAAGTCACTTAACCCCAATTGCCAAAAAAAGAAAAGAAAAGGATGGTGCTTAGTTGACTACAAGCTCCAAATCTCTTTGGAAAGAACTCCATTTAGTTTATAAAGCAATGTGGACAAGGTTTTTATCCAAGATGGGAAGCCAGTTTTCTTCCTTTGCCTTTTTTTGACAAAGGCCCTGTAAGGCACCTGTTAAATCAAAGCAAGCAGAAATATTTGGTAAATTTTCTATAGTATTCTCTTTTTTTGAATTGGCAAAATTTCATATTTGAGGATAACTGTGATTCTCACCTATACATATGGAATTGTATGATTATGCAACTTTGATTTCCAGAGTCTCTTTTCTGTATAAAACCGCAGAAGGAAGTGAAAAGATATTGCTTATATTTCCCCAGAGACCCCAAAGGACTGTTCAGAATTGAGATCTAGTATTGTGCTCAAAAAACACCTCTGCTTATTTGCTGGGGATGGTAAATATTTCAAACAGGAGGGGAAAATGTAAAAATATTTGCCCAGATCATCTAAGATGAAGGTACCCACATGGGAGAAGAAAAGGATTTGCTTCTGGGTGAAGCCATTCTGTGGTCCCCTACCACATTAGTGCCAAAACAAACTGCATTTTATCAGATTGGGGAAATATCTCTCTTTCTAATCTAGTCCATTGAGTAGAGGCCTTGCTCACCCACAGAAGGGGAATCATGAACTAATGACCTACGGTCCTGAGATTTGAGCTTGGGGTTTTGGTCTGCTCAAGCCTTGGTTATCTTGGAATCAAGATTTCTGGCCAGAAGTTGCTGTCAGCCCAGCAGGGAAGCACTCAGAAGTAAGTGTAGTGGATAGAGCACCAGCCCTGGATTCAGTAGGACCTGAGTTCAAATCCAGCCTCAGATACAACACTTACTAGTTGTGTGACCCTGGGCAAGTCACTTAACCCCACTGCCTAGCCAAAAAAAAAAAAAAAGAAGAAGTAAGTGTACCAAGATGCAAGACCAGGGAGCCTTTGCCTTTTTTTTTTTTGGTGAGGCAATTGGGGTTAAGTGACCTGCCCAGGGTCACACAGCTAGGAAGTGTCAAGTATCTGAGGCCAGATTTGAACTCAGGTCCTCCCACCTCCAAGGTTGGAACTCTTTATCACTACATCACCTAGTTGCTCCTCTAGGGAGTCTTTGGACTTGGAACTTGGTGGGACCATGCTGTTTGGGATTTGTAAAGTGAACCTAATATCATTTATGCTGTGAACCTAATCTTCCTCCCTAGTGACTAAGCTGGTAAAGGAAGGGTTATGTTCCTCACTCCCCCTTTTTGGGAAGTGGGATGTTTGCATGTTTGTTCTTGAGATATCTTTGAAGTAAATATTCCTTTGTAAAAGCTAATCTTACTCTTAAGAGGTTAAAGTGAACTGGGGAGCAAGAGATCCTTAAAATTAGGAGAACACATTCAGTGGGAGCTTGACACACTACAACCCCCTTAAAGGTACCAAAGAACTCTGGAGAGGAGTGAAATGTAGCAGACCTGGCCCTTAAGCAGTGGAGTTCAGGGTAGTAGTCATTGTTACATATACAAAGTTAATATCTTCTGATATTTTATAATGTATGCTAGCATTTTCAAATAAGCTTTTTTGTTTTGTTCAACAAATGTTAGCATACATATCAAAGCCTTATAAACTTTAGTCCAGCCTTCCCTGTTTCTTAATTTTAATCATGTTTAAATCTCAAATCCCGGTGTTTTGCTTTTATACTCTGTGAGCCATACCTCAGCTTCATTTTAGAGATTTCCCTGGAGATTTATTCTGTAATGGGAACATAGTAGGAAAGAGAAGAGCTAAAACCTGACCACTCTCCCTTTGGGGTCTGGCTCCCCTATGATGAATCTATGTTGTGAGAACCCAGAATTGGATCTTTTGTTGGAGCAGGCCCCCTTGGGCCTTGAAGCACACATGTATCTTCCTGTCTTCTAAACTAGATTATGGGGGAAAAAAATAAGAACAAGAACTATGTTTTCTTTTTCAAGCAAACCCAGTCACAGAAGTCATAACAAGGTTCTCTACTCACAGAATTCTAATATTCTTAACTGAGGATGGTACTTTTTAAAATGAGATTTAATGTCACTATGAAGATTTTGCTCATTTCCAAAGCAGACAGTAATGCATATAATAACATTGAAGGGAAATAATAACAAACTGAATACCTTCTCTGTGCTCAGCCTGGGGAATTCAATGAGGCATAAAAAAGCTAACTTCAAATAGCACAAAAATCTAGTTCAGAACACAGGATACAAAAAGATAAATAGCAAACACGGTTAAGGAAGTAATACAGACAATTAAGTACAGTACTAAAGAAAAGGAAAGTTGCCTTAGTCAAAAGAGTGCTGCACCTTGAGTTAGGAGACCTAAGTTCAAAACTTAGCACATATTTAATCAACTGTAGGACATAAAAAATTTACTTTACTTCTCAGCCCTGTAAGGTAACTCTCAGAGCCAATGTTGCTGTATTGACTTTCTATCTCCCTGGAAACCTGTGAATCCCAGAAATTCCCACAGAGGGAAGGAGAACATGTCAGACATGAGATTTACTGCTTCAATCCTCTAGGACAGAGAGAGCATAGTAAAGCTGTCCTTTAGGAGTTCACTCTGGGACAAGAAGACATGCAATTGGAGAAGGGTACAAAATCTATATATAGTACCTCCTCTGTGATCACTCTCCCAACCTCCATTCACATTAGCAGGTTGAGTCCCCAGAGGGTTTCTCCCCGAGATTTCTAGAGCTAATCCTAAGGAGTACAGGAATCTAATGCTCACAAGGGTATGTTTCCCAATATCAAGGAATCAGTTATCATCTCCCCAATACCAGTCAACTAGTTGTCATCAATTCACTCTTATAAAGGGAAATCCACTGAGGCATAGCAAGGAAATAATTATAAAACAAATCCCTTAAGCTAGGAGAACATTCTCCCCTCTATAAATATTCTGTCCCTGAGCAGAATGGGTTCAAACCTGAAGAACAAAACACATATATAGGGAAGATATGTGGTTGATAGATGTTTCCTGATTGAGAATCCTTTTCTCCCTTCTTGGAGTGGCCACCAAGTTCACTTTTGGTTGTACCATAGCTGATGAATGAATCCTTTCCTTGATCATCTGAGCTCTTCACTAGACTCAGATGCTGCTGCCAGAGGCCCTGTGGAACCAGAGAGCTTTGATAGACTGCTTGGTCACAAGTGTGCTCCTATCTCAGCATACTTATTCACCTAAGATTAGAAAAGAAGAAACACAATAGAAACAGAGGCACCTTGAACTCAGGGACAAAGTGGCTGGGTGGAGGAGTACTTCACAGCAAATAGTCATCCTCACTCAAAATCTATCAGAAAAGAGAAAGAAAACTGAAAAGGCTTTGGGAAGGAGGGAAAGAGCCTAGGGTTGGTTGGTTGGTTGGTTTGTTTGTTTCGGTCTTTTTTTTATGTGAACTAAATTTCTTGTGCCATCATCAATCCTTCTTCTTCTTTAGCAAATTTTTTAATAAATTAACTTATTTATTTATAATCTGTCCCTCCCACTGAACACGAAAAGACACACACACACACACACACACACACACACACACACACACACACGCGCGCAACCTTCATCATAAACATGCAGTCTGGTAAAACATATTCCCTCATTGAAAGTGCCTGAAAATTCTCTCTCTCTCTCTCTCTCTCTCTCTCTCTCTCTCTCTCTCTCTCTCTCTCTCTCTCTCTCTCCATTTTAAGTTAAACTCCTCTCTGGCAGGAAGTGAGTGGCATCTTCACTCTTCTACACTCATGGTTTATAATTGTATTGATCAGAGTTCTAAAGTGTTTCAAAGTGTTTTTCTCTATAATGTTGCTGTCATTTGGAAAAATTATTCTTCAAATTCTTTTCACTTTGTACCAGCACATAGAGAGAGGTCTTCCCCATCTTCCTCTAAAATCATACATTTTGTCATTTCTCATGGTACAATAGCATTCCATTTATATGCCACAATTTGTTCAGCCATTCCCTAATAAGAAGATATGTCACTCCCTTCATTTCCAATTTTTGATTAGTATGAAAAGAGCTGCCACATATATTTTAGTTCATGAAGTTTTTCTCTTCTTCTTTCTATACCTTGGATGGTTAGGCCCAAAGGGCAAGTACAGTTTGGTAACTTTGGGGGCATAGTTCAAATTGCTATCCAGAATGCCTAGACCAATTAACAGCTCCATCAGTGCATCAATGCATCTATTTTCTCATATGCCCTCTAACATTTGTCATTTTCCTTTTTTTTTTTTTTTTGGTCATCTTTGCCTATCTGATGGGTATGAGGTAAAACCTCAGGATTTCTTTTATTTTCATTTCTTTAATTATTAATGATTTAGAGAATTTTTGTATGGTTATTGATAACATTTTTTTCCCTGTGAAAAACTGCCTGTCCATATCCTTTTGACCAATTATCTATTAGAGAATGGTTCTTAGTCTTATGCATTTGAATCAAGTCCTTATGTAGCACTAACTGCCTTGGTTATATTTCATCCCTTCCCCCAAAGTTCTCTGGTACCTTTAACAGGGTTTGGAACAGTCTAGGTTTTCATCCAATTGCTCCAACCCCCACTGATGATGTTCTTCCAATTGTAAGGGTGATCCCCTGCACCCAGTTCCATTTAGTCACTAATAATGAAATTAGATTTTACAAAGAAATATGTACTAGAAAAGGTATAAGCACAAATATACAAACTTACTCCCCCAACACTTGGGAGACAGAAATCTCCTCCCTTATACTACCTCAGTCTCTGGGTAAGTTTAGTTCGGTTCCTATGGAGCACTGTCACAGTTCCAAGTTCAAAACCCCCTCCAGGCTTAGGGCCCAGGCACTGTAGCTTAGGATCTTTAAACTTATGGAAGACCTTGCAACTTTGTTTGCTTCTATACATTGTGTATCTAATCTATTCCACTGATCATTTTTTAAAAATTAGCTACAGATCATTACATTTATTTCTCCTTTGTAGTTCAATTTGAGATCTGTTACTGACAGACCCCCCTTTTTTCCATTATTCCTTCCCCCCTTTTTTTCATTATTACTCTTGATATTCTTGACTCTGTGCCCCTCCACATGAACTTAATTTGTTTTCCCTAGCTATAAAATATTCCCTTGATAGTTTGACTGGTACAGTATTGAATAATTAAATTATTGTAGTTTTGGTAATATCATATTTGTTCACCCTACCTATGAGCAATTAATATTTCCCCAATTATCGATCTGTTTTTGTTTCTGTAAAGAGCATTTTATATTTGGATGCATATAGTTCCTGCATGTATGTCAGTAGGCACATTCCCAAATATTTTATAGCTTCTATGGTTATTTTGAATGTAATTTCTTTCTAGCTCTTCCTGTTGGGTTTTACTGGTAACAAAGAAGAAAGCTGATGATTAATGTGAACTTATTAGATAGATAGGTGGATAGATAGATAGATAGATGGATCAGGTAGGTAGATAGACAATATAGTGGAATAAGGTCTTTCTAAAGGCTTAGGGAAAACAGCATGGGGTTACATAACCCAAAGGCAGGGAGAGAGCCAAAGGGGCATTAGTTGCCACACATCTAAGATTATAAATCACAAATGCTACTAATCAGCCTCCCAGTGGAGGCTATTTTCACACCAAGAGTTCACTTCATCACAGGATCATTGTAAGATAAGTGCTTTCCAAAATTTAAAACTTTATATAGATGTGAGCTATTATTAAATAAGTTAATTGTAATGAACAGTGTTGAAGTATGAGGAGTTTGAGGCTAAGCCTTGGGGTATATTAATATTTAGAGAGAAGACAGAAATTAAGTTATTAAGAGATGAGGTAATCATAAAAATACAATAAGAACCAGGACAGTATAGTGTCATGGAAACCATGGAGGAGAGAGTTTTAAGAAAGAAAGATTACCAGCAATGCTTAATGATTTAGATAGGTAAAGGAAAATCAAGACAGAGGTAGAAAAGGGCATTGACTTTGGCATATAGGAGGGGTAATTCAGAAGAATAAAGTTTAATGTAGGGAGTGGGGGATGGGAAGATGATAGATTAAAATAGGTGTACTATAGACAAAAGAGCAATAGAAGGCAGAGTCCAAATTCTGTCTGTACTACTTAAATATATGATCCTCTGAAAGAACAGCACAGTTTTATCTAAACATATTATTCTAAAACATCAATAAAGTCTCTTGTTTGGCAACAAGAGAGATAAGTTTAAGAGGCAGGTTAGAGTCAGGAAGAGAATAGTTACAAGGATTCAAATGAAATTGAAAAGGGAAGACCCAGGGATTCAAGTACAGTGGAGGTTCAGTGGAATGGAAGTTCTAATTATAGATCATTAGCATTGATCACATTTCTTATTTTTCACCACCATCTTCTTTGTTAAAAAAAAAAAAGGAAAGCAGAGTAAAGAGAGGGGAAAAGTAGAGTAGGATATCATAGAGAGAAAATATAATTAACAATCATAACCAAGAATGTAAATGGGAAGAACTCACCCTTAAATGAGAAGTAAAAGCAGAATATATTAGAAAATAGGATACAGGGGCAGCTAGGTGGCACAGTGGATAGAGCATCAGCCCTGAAGTCAGGAGGACAAAAGTTCAAATTCAGTCTCAGACCAAATGCTTGACATAAGCTGTGTGTCCCTGGGCAAGTCACTTAATCCCAATTGCCTGAAAAGAAAATAGGATACAACAATATTTTTTTTTACAATAAATACACTTGAAACAGAAAGATTCACATAGTTAAAATGAATAACTGAAGCAGAACCTATCATGCAGAGAAATTGTTAGCAATTGGAAAGACCAGAGAAGACCTCCTACAGAAGTGGAAACTGAGCTGAGTCTTGAAGGAATCCATGGAAACTATGAGTTAGAGGTAAGAAGGAAGAGCATTTCGGCATACAGGACAGCTGGTTTAAAGGTATGGAGACAGTATACGAAGGAGTATGATGTTAGAGGAAGTGCAGGTAGGGCAATGATACTGGATCAAAGAGTGTGTGAAGTTTTGAAGAACTTTAAATGTAAACCAGCATACTGCATATTTGATCCTGGAAGTAATAGGGTACCAGTGGAGTTCATTGACATTATCAGACAACATTTTTTTAAAATCACCTTATTATCTAAAAGGAGGATGGATTGGAATGGGAAGAGACTTAGGGCAGGGGAGACCAGATGAAAAGCCATTGCAGTAGTCTATGTGAGAGGTGATGAGGGACTGAACTATTTCTCAGATGAATATAACATGTTTAAATGTTAAAAAAAAAAACATAGGCATAAATGGACCTTTCCTTAATGTGGTAAATACTATCTCTATAAAACCAAGAGCTAGAATTTTGTGTAATTGAGAAACAATGAGAGGTCTTTATAATAAATTGGGGGTAAAGCAAGAATATCCATTATCACCACTATTATTTAATATAGTGCCAGGCATGCTATTTTTAGCAATGACAAGAAAAAAAGAAATTGGAGGAACAAGGGTATGCAAAGAAGAAACAAAATTGCCAATTTTTGCAGATGATATATGGTGATGGTCTACTTAGAGAAACCTAGAGATTCAACTAAAAATTAACCGAAACAATAACTGTAGCAAAATAGCAGGCTACAAAATAAGTCCCTACAAATTGTGAGCCTTTTTCTATATTACAAAAAAAAAACTCACGAGAAGGAGATAAGAGAACTTCCATTTAAAATACAGAATTATAAATATATGGGAGTATACCTACAAAGACACAGGAATTACTGTATATGAATGCAAATATAAAACACTATTTACAGAAAAGCAGACAAAACTATATAATTGGAGAGTACTAGCTATTCACAATTGAGTATGCCAATGTAACAAAAGCTATAATACTACTTAAATTAATTTACTTCCTCCATGTTATACCAATTAAAATAAAAATAAAGTTACTTTATAGAGCTTGCAAAAATAATGACAAAATTCATGTGGACAAACAAAAATCAAAAATTACAAGGGAAATAATGTAAACAAGTACTAAGGAAGGGAGCCTAATAATACCAGAATTCAAACTTTATTATAAAGCAATAATCATCAAAATAATTTGGTACTCATTCAAAATGGAAAAAAAAATGATTAGAGAGACAGATTAGGCCCAGAAGATACAGAAGCAAACTTAGTGGCATAGTGTTGATAAACCCAGAATCCCCAGTCACTTGTCTATAGACTCACTATTTCAACAAAAACTTATGCAAAAAGTGGAAGGTGGTCTAGCAGAAAATCAATTTATGCCAACATATCACAATAAACTCCAAATGGATACATAGAAGATGACATAAGAAACAACTCAGAAGTACAGTTAAATTTAGAATGCAAACTGGGGCAAAATATTTTCAACAATTTTTTCTGAAAATAGTAAAGTTTTGCTATCAATATCTATGTATAAATGATTCAAATGCTATACCTTAATAAAGCTTAACTCTGCACTAAGACTTCTGGGACATTGTGTATTTGAATCAGCTTTAACCTTTAATAATGTAAAATGGTGCTGAGACTTTTGGGACCCCCTCTTATAAGAACTATTCCCTAATAGATAAAGGGGCAAATGATATATAGAATCAGTTTTCAAAAGAAAAATGTACAGTATCAACAACCATTTGAAATATAGCCTATATTTAAGAGAGAGACAGAGGAATGCAAAATAAATGAACTTGAGGTTTCATCTCTCAGCAATATTGGCAAAGATGACCAAAAAAGAAAATGATGATTATTGGAGAAAACACAGGAGTGTAGAAATATTATTGCACTGTGAATTCATCCAGTCGTTATGGAAAGCAATTTGGCACTATAACAAAAAACTCACTATATTATGCATACCCTTTGACCCAGTATTAACATTACTAGGCCCCAAAGATATAATTGACAGAAAGAACCCATGAGCATTTGTAGTGGGTTTTTTTTTTGTAATGGCAAAGAATTATAGTATAAGAACAGAATAGAATATTATTGTGCCATAAGAAATAACAAAAGAAATGTGTTCAGAGAATCCTAGGGAGACTGCTATGAAGAAAAAAAAAAGCAGAATAAAGTGAACAGAACAAGAACAATGTTTACAATGATTATGACAGTTTAAAAAAAACTTTAAGAACTTTAATCAATGCAGTAACCAATTACAGTTTCAGAGGACCAATGCTGAATAGGCTTCCTACTTTCTGACAAAGATGATAGTCTGGTGATGCAAATTATGAGAAACACTTTCTAACATGGCCCATATGTGGATTTGTTTTTGCTTGACTCTGCTAACTTACTACAAACTAGGGAAGGGGGCCAGATAATCCAGCTAATGATAGTAATGCCAAACACAGAATGAAAGAAAACAGTATTGGAGATGTTTTTAAAAGAATTCACTTAAGAGTAAGATGTCAACAAGATAGGCCTTAAATTGTATTAAGTTTATATACTTTTAAAAAGACACAAGCTATGCATAGTGGAGATTCCTGATTGTCACATTCTGTCCTCTTTCTGTTCTTCCTTGTATATATCTGTGTTTTCAAGTTCAGAATCACACACGTACACACACCCTCTAAAACAGAAAAAAAAAATGGCAACTACAGAATTTTTAGTTAGAAGAGACTTCACAGATCATCTAAGCCCAATTTCCTTGTTTTACAAAGGAGAAAACTGGGACCTAAGGAACTGATAGGGTGCTTGAGTGCTTGTGCTTGTACTTGGATCCCAATTTCTCCCTAGTCTCAGAAACACTGTCTCTGACAATTTCTCTCCAGCCCGAGGACACTGTGCCCACTCATGAGTGAGCCCCAGCAAGACCCTTATCTCTTTCCCTGGTGCAGCTACACAAAGCTGGGTGAGAGAGTGCTGGGCTGCTCAGGCCCCAGCCCTAAAATCATGTCTCTGGAAGTCTCCCAGTTCCTTAGTAAGCTCCTGTCTTGTGAGAAAACTTTCCCTTCTTGCAGTGCATTCTCTAATGAAGACAGAGAGAAAGGTGTCTTGTCTGGCCCAAGGAGTTTTGTCCCTGGCTGGCCCAAGGACTCTTCTTTCTGCCACATTCCCAAGATCCATGCCTCTGACATCTCTCTCCCTGTCTGGTATACTCCCTACACTTTCCCTCCCAAAGGCACCTGGACCTTTTAGATTACCTAATTAGTATCCCTGGCATTCTTTTCCCATCCCCTTTTCCATATAAACGCTAGCTCCATCCTCAGTCTCTCGAAGGTTCCTTAAGAATCCTTGCTCGCTGAAAAGTGTAACAATAAACTTTTCGCCACCTTGACATAAAGAATGCTTGGTCTGTGAATTCATTCCAGACGACCCAGTCCTGTACTCAGTCTTTGATGAGAGGTCTCAACCTCTCAGACCCCAACAGAACTGGAGTCATTTAGGAAAGACAACATAGCTAATCAAAGAGGTTACTGAAATAAAACCAGTTCTGGTTCACAATGGTAAGCCTAGTATGTGTAATGAATGGACAAGGTTAAATGGTTAAAGAGATGATAAATTGTACCATGCCTCAGTGGAGTAGGCAACAAAGCTTTTAAAATCTTGAGTGGCCCCCTTCAATAGCCCACTATTAAACTCCAAGCCCCCAGGGTCCCCTCTCCAGTACATGCTCCACAAAGCTAAAAAGGGTATATTCCTTCCATGTCACTCCCCTACTCAAGAAACTCCAAATGCTTCCTATTATTACTAGGATCAAATGGAGACTTCTTTGACATTTAAATTCACAATCTAGTTGGAGCTTACCTTCCTTTATAGACTTATAGAGGGACTACGTAACTGTGGTCCCAAAAATAATAGGATTTTGCTGGCCTTCTCACACGCATTTCATCTATCTCTGCCTTTGCAGACTAACAGTAATAGCTCCTACTGTGTGCCAATAGATTTAGTTACCTCATTTGATACTCCAAACAACCCTGAGAAGTAAATGGTCACCCCCATTTTACAACTGAGAAAAATCAAAACAGGTTTTAATAGAATTTAGAACTTTCACTACACCACTCAGTTGGAGTAGACTTTCTTTCCCACAACTCACTCCCTCATTGTGCCCAAGTCGCTTGAGCTTCCCCCTCTTCCCACCTCCCTATACTAGAAATTTACCTTACTTTGCTTCCCAATAGAGTAAGATTGATAGGAAAAAGATTAGATATGTGTTTAGTAGGGGAAAATACCTCACTTACCTCTCTTAGCAGCATTGAACTTAAACCTTACTTTGAAAAAAAGCTTAAGCATCCATCATTATCTCCTACAGGCCCTCCCCAAATTTCAAGAGGTCACAACTACTTATAGTGAAAAAATGGGTGGCTCTGAAAAGAGCCTTTGGGGGTATTTGGGATTTCTGGATGACAAATTAAGCCCTCTCCCCGCGGATGCGGCGAGCCAGCTGGATGTCCTTGGGCATGATAGTCACCCGTTTGGCGTGGATGGCGCACAGGTTCGTGTCCTCAAACAACCCGACCAGATAGGCTTCGCTGGCCTCCTGCAAGGCCATCACGGCCGAGCTCTGGAAGCGCAGGTCGGTCTTGAAGTCCTGCGCGATCTCGCGCACCAGCCGCTGGAAGGGCAGCTTGCGGATCAGCAGCTCGGTCGACTTCTGGTAGCGCCGGATCTCCCGCAGGGCCACGGTGCCGGGCCGGTAGCGGTGAGGCTTCTTCACGCCGCCAGTAGCCGGCGCGCTCTTTCGAGCAGCCTTCGTAGCGAGCTGCTTACGGGGCGCCTTGCCACCGGTAGACTTACGAGCAGTCTGCTTAGTACGAGCCATCTCGACCAGAGAGCAGAAAACAGAAAATGGAAATTTTGGCGACAGTCACCTTATTTATAGAGTAAAGCTGGTTCTGATTGGACTGAACAACACACAAATCTGAACTGTGACTCAGGATTGGTTGATAATTCCAGTACAGGTATTCTGGGTAATTTGATTGGGTGACTATCCATCACGCCCCTCCCCCTTCCTCAATTTTGCAGTGTTCTTTCAAACAGCTAACTTCTTTCCGATCCTGACCCCTTTATTCACAGGGCCGACAGCTTTGTCCTGAATATATACCTTTTTTTTTCTAGTACTGTGTATGCTTCTCCAAAATTGCTACCGTCACCTTAAAGACTAGAATACTTTGAGATTTGAAAAGACCGCGCTAAAACACGATTGGTTAGTTTGGGCATTTCTCTCCCGCGCCTTTTCATTTTCCAGACCACCCCAACCCCCTTCTTAAATTCACCCTCATAGGCAGATTACAGATGAATTTAAAACTACTTAACTTCTCTTTATATCGCTTTAATCTTGTAATTCCAGTATTAAGAATCCTCTCCCTGTAATTTTTTTCAGCTGCAAAGCTATTGTCCGTTTTTAATCTCATAAGATTTCTGGGTTTCAGTGGTGTACCCATATGGCTAGGCAACTTTGAAAAAACACCGTTTTTAACATGTTAGTAGTTTGATACACTGAATTTTTGAAACGACCTAATGGCGGGGCATGGTGGCTGTCTGGTGGGTGGTTTTGGGGGCCTATAATAACGTATCCAGAATGAGTACTCGCTTACTTTGGCACCCTCAGGATTAATCTGCCTAAGACGCCTTATTTGGACATTAAAGACCCAATTACTTTCACAACATATGCCATCAGCTCTCGTTTTGAAGAGATGCGTGGCTCTGAAAAGAGCCTTTGGTTTAAGTAAGGAAGGCGAAGAGTATATCCTAAAGCGCGGCTAAAGACACTCTATTTGCCCTTAGCTTTGTGGTGACTCTCGGTCTTCTTGGGCAGCAGAACAGCCTGGATGTTTGGCAGGACGCCGCCTTGAGCGATAGTAACCTTGCCCAGCAGCTTATTAAGTTCCTCATCGTTGCGGATAGCAAGCTGAAGATGACGAGGAATGATACGAGTCTTCTTGTTATCTCTAGCTGCGTTGCCCGCCAGCTCCAAGATCTCAGCAGTCAGGTACTCGAGCACAGCAGCAAGATACACGGGAGCACCGGCCCCAACGCGCTCGGCATAGTTGCCCTTGCGGAGCAGACGGTGGACACGACCGACAGGAAACTGAAGACCAGCCCGAGAAGACCTCGTTTTAGCTTTAGCGCGAGCTTTACCTCCCTGCTTTCCTCTTCCAGACATGGCGACTAAAACGAGCTTTCGACGAGAACAAAAAGCAACTACCTAACGTCAGGCAACAGAACCTATTATACCATTTTGTGGTAGGATAAAGTAAGCTTTCGGATTGGTTAAAAACAGCTTTCGATGAGGTAGCCAATCAGAAAGTAGGTCAAGAATCTGCTTAATTACAGGCGCTCTTCCCACTTGTGACTATTTAACCCAATCAGAGATTAGATAAGCTAAGCCTTCATTTACATAAAAATCTTCAACCTGCTGTAACCTGACTCCTGCCTTTCTTTTTCTGTTATTTTTGTAGTACTGTTCTGAGAAACTAATATTGTTTTCGTTCCTCAAGTGGGCTCCAGCCTCAAAGATTGTCTCCGAGAAACTGGTAACTTAAGCGAAAAATAATAATTCACATTTTTGAATGTGTACAAAATGATTTTCCCATAGCAGTCTCTTGAGGAAACCGTTGCTTTGCCAATGAAATGAAATCAGGAAGATGAAGCAATTAACTCAACATTGGATCTAAGGAATTCAAAATCAGATCTTCTGATTCGGGATCAGTTCTCTTCCGCTACAGCTCCAGCTTCCCACCTTGAAGTAGGGGTAGGTACTGGGGCACTGACATATTCAAAACCATCTCCTTCAAGAACGAATCCAAATTTCTCAGTCCGAATTTAATTTGATCTCCCTGTAGTTGGGCCCTATTCACGACCTTCCCCTGTTCTTTTTAGGCTTAGATGCTTTCTTCCTGGTTTCTTCCCATTCCTGTCTGCTTACATTCAGGATTTCAGTGAACATAGAAAAAAAGTCTCAAAATAAGTAGAAATAACTTAAGGGTTTATTGAATGAGCTCTTCAGAGAGAATGCAGGAAGATAGGCAATCTTTTGTCTGCCTCAATGGCACCCAATATTTGTTCAAGCCTGGAAAATGAGACCATGCACATAATTATTTGCAGAAGGTAGCTCTATCTGGACAATAATAATCCAACTACAATAGGAACCACAAATTTGGGGGTTATAACCCCTATTTAGAACCCAACATGGAACTAATGGGGTGTTTGGGTGCTTGTGCTTATACGTGGACCCCAATTTCTCCCTAGTCTCAGAAACAGTCTCCAATAACTACTCCCTAGTCCAAGGACACTGCCTAGCAATTACTCATGCATAGGCCTCAGCATGACCCTTATCTCTCTTCCTGGTGCAGCTACACAAAGCGGGGTGAGAGAGTACTGCGCTGCTCAGGCCCCAGCCCTCAGATCATGTCCCTGGAAGCCTCCCAATTCCTTAGTGAGTTCCTGTCTTGTAAGAAGGCTTTCCCTTGTTGCAGAGCATTCTCTTATCAAGACAGAGGGAGAGGGGTGCCTTGTCCAGCCCAAGGAGTTTTGTCCTTGGCCAGCCCAAGGACTCTTCTTCCTGCCAGACTCCAAAGATCCATATCTCTCTCATCTCCTCCCTGTCTGGAATACTCCCTATACTTTCTCACCTATAGCTCCCAAAGACACCTGGACCTTTAGATTACCTCATCAGTGTCCCTGGTATTCCTTTCCCATGCCCTTTTCCATAAAAATCCTAGCTCCATCCTCAGTCTCTTGCAGGTTTCTTAAGAATCCTTGTCTGCTGAAAAGCGTGACAATAAATCTTTGCCACTTTGACTTAAAGAATTCTTGAGTCTGTGAATTCATTCCAGATGACCCATCCTGTAACAGAACAAGTGATTGATTTAAGAATGGAAAAGGAATACAAGGCTACATATTATAACATTTATTTAACTTATATGCAGATTACATCATCCAAAATGACATGCTGGATGAATGAAAAGCCAGAATTGAGTTTGCCAGGAGAAATATCAACAATCTCAGATATGCAAGATGATACCACTCTGATGGCAGAAACTGAAGAGGAATTAAGAAGCCTCTGGATGAGGATGAAAGAGGAGAGTGTAAAAACTGGCCAGAAAGTTTAACATCAAAAAAACTAAGATCTTGGCAACTGGTCCCAGCAGTTGCTAGCAAATAGAGGGAGAAGAAATGAAAGCAGTATCAGATTTTCTATTCATGGGCTCAAAGATCACTGCAGACAGTGACTGAAGCCATGAAATTAAAAGACACTTGCTCCTTGTAAGGAAAACTATGGCAAATCTGGAAAGCATACTAAAAAGCAGAGAAATCACCTTGCTGACAAAGGTCAATATAGCCAAAGCTGTGGTTTTTTTAGTGGCAATGTATGGCTGTAAGAATTGGACTATAGGGAAAGTTGGGCTCTACAGAATCGATGTTTTTGAATAGCGGTGCTGGAGAAAACTTTTGAGAGTTCCTTGGACAGCAAGGAGATCAACTCAATCAGTTCTTTAAAAATTTAATTCAGGCTGGTGATGGAACCCTTCTTGACAATGGATGTGGTATGTAACAATTAATTTGGTCAAGGGTTTCAAAATACTAAAAATTCTACCCAAACAAGAAAGGGAGTAGTGGCAACAGAAAATGTAGTAATTCGTTCAATAAATATTTAAGTGCTCAATTATAGCAAATGCCACTGTGTGACTGAAATAAGATCCATTGTGTTATGAAAAAAATTAATTTGGTCAAGGGTTTCAAAATATTGTTAAAATTCTAAAATGAGGATAAGAAGTTAGATAGTGGCAATAGAATATGATTCTTTCATTCAATATATATTGAGCATTCTATGTTCAGAGATCTATGCTAGAAGCTAAGACAGATAGACAATTTAGGTTGTATAGGACCAGCCCTCATGGAGCTCATAGTCTAGTTGGAAGATGACAAATAATGGGGAAAGTATTAGATTTAGATATAGAAGGAAAATAGTCCCTGCTCTCCAGGAATTTATATTCTACTTAGGTGTAAGGGAAGTTCAACGTGAACATAGTGTAAAATATGTGTATCTGAGTGCTGAGGCAACTCCCTTAACTTACACTCAAGAGCTGGCTCTACCAGAGGGCATCTTCTACCTTTAGGTTAAAGGTACCTGCAGTTACTTACTCCTAAAACTATAACTAATGAACTTCTGTCAGTAAGCTTAACAGTAAGACAGTAGTAGTGAGTATGTGTGTAGGAATATAATACCTGTACCATACCTAATTCACATTGTATATTGAGTACTTTCCTACTCTTTTTCTGGGGAAATCCTAGACATGAATCATAACCTAAACTATAAGCAATTTTCTCCCAAAGTACCACGACAGGAGTTTACTCAGCTTCCCAGGACTAAAGTTAATTTAAACCAAATCACATGCCTGGATATATGACAGAGAGAGGTCCCAGTACTACAGCCTCTGTAGAAATATTTTGAAATCCTTGGATAAGAGACATCAGCAGTTTTGTCTAAATGATTATTTCAATGCTGCTGTCGACAGTGACCAAGTGAACTTCTTTATCAATCATAAAAGTATTTGGTCATTTATTCTCCTTTCCCTCCTTGAACAAGGGATGTTTTCTAATTCTGATGACAGTCACCCATATATCAAATGTGGAGCACCCCCCCAAAATCCTTCCCTTGGCTGATTTCACCCTTCTTCCCTCCTATCTTCTTATCTCTCCCTTTCCTGTGAAAAATATTGCTTATACATTATAAATTGCCACAGAATGCCATTGATTGGCTGCACACACCTGAAAAGTTATTTTTTAAAAAATCTGTACCCTCAGAAGGGGAAGCTGTAATTCAGTGAACAGTCTTCCTTAATATGCTAATAAATCTTCTTTTCAGTTTAGTTACTAAATTATATGGCCCCCAATTATTTGGATCTTGGTTGGTTTTTGAGATTCTTCTTGAGTACTCCAGGAAACCAGGCTGGGAAGTTCCTGAATATTTTTGTGTCAGAAGTAGGATAGGGGCAGTTAAGGGGGCAGCTAGGTGGTGCAGTGGATAGCGCGCCAACACTGGATTCAGGAGGACCTGAGTTCAAATCCAACATCAGACACATAATACTTACTAGCTGTATGACCCTGGGCAAGTCACTTAACCCCTTGCCTAGCCCCCCCCCAAAATCAAAAAACAATTAAAATTTAAAAAAAAAAGAAGTGGGATGACTGGGACTCTCCAGAAAAGTGACAGAGTTTACCATAACCCAGAACAGCTAGAGAACACATAAGGTAAGATTTTACTCAGGTAGCCTCCTGTGGTGACCATTTTTCTCTCTCATTTCAAAGGGATGGTTAGCATCATTTTCACTTCAAAATTGTCCATGAGGAATCAAATTGGAAATAGGATAGACCTTTGGTAATTTGAAAATTTTTCATGCCTCCTAGGTTATATGACCAAGACTCAGTATAGCATCCCAACAGCTACTTCCCAAGACTTATCTTAGGAATAGTAGAAAGCAAGGTCTGGGTATGTAAACCTGGTATCTAAATAGGAGGACCTCCTCATTTTCAAGTCAATAACTCAACTGGGTCTAAGGGCTTACCCTTAATCTCCTGTTCCTTGGCTTTTTCTTTCCTCCCTGACAAAATAAGTAGAGATTCTTTTTCTCTAGATTGTGGGCCTGGGTTATTGTTAGAGTGTATACAAAGTCACATTTGAGTGACAGTGAGGTCTGGAACCCCAGAGGAGAGCCTGAGAATAAACTTTCTCTAACCTTTTCAAATATTTTGGAGACTGAACTGTGGGTAGCCCTTCTTGCAGCAGGACATTGTGAAGAAGTCCCTCAGTGGGTAACCCCTCTTGATAGTGGCCCCTATGCAAGCTATGGTTAGCTTGAATCCCAGAAAAAACAGACAGCTACTTTTGGGCAAAAGCCTAAGTGAAAATAAAAATCTTCTCCCCATCCATTTTAAGGCAGTCGCTGATTCTCTGCCTAGACTGGAGTTGGACTTGGTCCTTTGGTTCACTTAACTATAAGGCAATTTTGCCATTTGGAGGCCTCAAAAATGGGAGATAGGAGTGAGAAAAAGTCCTAGGTCTACACTGGAAAAAAGCGATTACATTTTTTAAGCTAGCCAGGAAAACTCAAGCTGTTATGTAGTAGAGCCAAGATTCAAATTCATGTTATCTGACTCCAAATTTGTTCTGATGCCCTTTGTTCCCATATTCTTCCAATCTTGACTTACACTGTTCCTGGCCACTGACATTTTCCCTGTTTACTGTAATAAAAATTGAATCTTTTCTTGAAAATAAGAACAGTTTCTCTTTTGTTTGGTATATGAAAAAGCCTATTGGGCCAATGAGAAATGGTTGATGCTCAGCAGTTTTGCCAGCTGACCCTGGTTCTGTATTTGTCTTTCTCCAAGTTTTAGCAAAACTCCCTCAACCACTTCTGTTTCTTTTCCAGTCTTTTTCTAGACTATCCCTATGACCAAGTCATAGAAAAAGATATTGGATCCAGAATGAATCTAATATAACCCAATTCTTCATTTCATAGCTCAAGAAACAAAAAGATTTCACGTCACAAATACAGGCAATACAAGAACCAGCTTCTCATGGCTTCTAATACAGTGCCCTTTCCACTTGACACACTGCTTTTCCCAGAAAACTTCGTATTGGTAATTTTATTTTCTCTGATCTCACCGTAAACATTAACATAGCTTTGAAAGCAATTTTTGCATGTGAATGCACCGTTCCTAGAATATGTTTTGTATCCACTT